AGTGCCGAATTGACGAATTTCCAAAGTGCCGAAGTGCTTCGGATTTCTGAAAAGTGGCAAAACAGGAGTGGATTGGGGTTAAGGGTTGGGGTAGGGTTAGAGAGGGTTAGTTGTTGGGGTAGAGGTAGGGGTAGGGTTAAGGGTTGGGGTAGGGTTAGTGGTTGAGGTAGGGTTTGGGGTAGGGTTAGGGTTAGTGGTTGGAGTAGAGTTAGGGTAGGGTAACCCTAAGCCTATTCCTAACCCTACCCCTAACCCTACCCTAACCCTAACCGTACTCCTAACGCTACCCTAACCCTAAACTTACCCTTAACCCTACCATAACCCTGCTCCTAACCCAACCCTACCCCTAACCCTACCATATCCCTAACCCTACCATAACCCTAACCCTACCATATCCCTAACCCTACCTCTAACCCTACCTCTATCCCTAAACCAACCCTAATCCTACCCCTACCCTAACCTTACCCTTAACCCTACCCTACCCCTAAGCCTACCCTAACCTTACCCCTAACCCTACCCTAACTCTACCCCTAACCCTAAACCAACCCTAACCCTACCCCTAATCATACACTTACCCGAAGTCCTGAAGTGCCGAAGTGCTGAAGTTCTGACGTGTCGAAGTTCCAAAGTGCCGAAACGAAGTGCCGATGTTCCGAATTTTGGAATGTCAAACCAAGCCCAAATAGAGTCCCCACAAACACCAACACCACATACAAGCCACATACATACACACAACCCCACAACCAGCCTCTCAGATGCAATAACACAAACAGTCCCACAAATACACAAACCACCAAACACACAATGTGACATATAATCCATACAATTCTACAAGCAGCCCCCATACACAGCCCACATTCGTAGGTATGATACACAATAGCACAAACTACTCATAAACATTTATAACAGCCACATACACACAAATACAATGCTACAAAGCAACTGTAGCACCCATAAATAACGCAATCAGTATATGGCAACACACACCTCAATTTAAAAAAAAATCAGGAATGGCACGCCAAGGGACGTCAAGATCTTGTTTTGGCACAATACTGCTGAAAGGTTGCCTACCTCTGGTCAAGGGCAAGCATGTCAAACTCAAAGTCTGGCACGGGCCACATAAACAAGTTTTAAGTTTATGTGGGCCGCAAAAAAATACCTTAAATTTTCATAGAGTATAAAATAAAAACCAGCATCCCCCTCTACTAAACCACAGCACCCCCCTCTACTAAATCTCAGTCCCCCCTCTACTAAACCACAGCACCCACCTCTACCACACTGTGCCAAATCTGATCCTTCCGCTGACACACACATTCTCACTGACAGACAGACACACACATACAAACACACACACACACTGACAGACACACACTCACTGACAGACACACATATACTCACTGACAGACACACACACACATACTCACTGACAGACAGACACACACATACTTACTGACAAACACACAAATACTCACTGACAGACACACACCCACACTGTAACAGACACACACACTCACTGACAGACACACACCGAGACACTCACACACAGACACTCACACACTTACACATTCTTGCACACACATACTTTTCTTTATTACTCCCTACTTTTTGGAGCCGATGTGGGGCATCTCCCTGGGTTCCTTCGATCTGCTCCTCACTGCTTCCGCGCGCGGTTTAGTAATATGACTGCGGTTTAGTAATATGACATCATATTCCAGCGCCCGGCTTCACTACAGACGGCGCGTGTGGGGGAGCAGTGAGGAACAGGAACACGCCTCGCTGGCCCTTCTCCCCGGCCGGGTAAGTTTTAGCAGAGTAGGCACCTGCAATGTGGGGACATTGCCTACTCTGCTATAACACCAGCATGTACTCGCGGCTCGCCGGGCCGCAAAGATGGTCCTTGTGGGCTGCATGTGGCCCGTGTGCTGCGAGTTTGACATGCTTGGTCTAGGGGGCATTTTATACTAAGCGCTGACACTTTTTTCATGTGTATTTTAATGTAATTACGCAAATGTCACTTCCTTGGCTTCTCGTCCAATCCAATGTTTCTCATAGAGAAACATTGAGAATGCAAAAAACCCATGAAAGGCAAGCAATCAAATGCTTCCCTGTCGACTTTGAATGTCACATAACAGAATCAAACTTGGTTCATGCAGCAGAAGCACCCTCTAGTGGTTGTTTAATAAATGGCAATGTTTTACATTGGAGCACTAAAATGACAGCGGCACTGCCCCCAGACTATTTCATTGACATTATTATTATTATTATTTTATTATTTATATAGCGCCAACAAATTCCGTAGCGCTGTACAATGGGTGGACTAACAGACACATAATTGAGATCAGACCACTGACGTACAGGAACAGAGGGGGTTGAGGACCCTGCTCGATGAGCTTACATGCTAGAGGGAGTGGGGTATAGTGACACAAAGGGTTAAAGTAGGGGAATTAAATAGTTTGTTACAGAAGGGTTTATTGAGTGCTTGGTAGGTCATTTTTGACAGGTGCAGGAACGGAGTCATGGGGTGGGGGATGAGAAACCTGCTGACAGTTTAATTGATACGCTTTAATGAAGAAGTGAGTTTTCAAAGATTTTTTGAAGGAATGGAGGCTGGGTGAAAGTCTGATTGAGGAGGGAAGGGAGTTCCACAGAATAGGTGCAGCCCTGGAGAAGTCTTGAAGGCGAGCATCAGAGGTGGGGATCCGGGCAGAGGATAGGCGTAGGTCTTGGGCTGAGCGCAGGGGTCTCGACGGGACATACTTGTGTATGAGGGAGGATAGGTATGTTGGAACAGCATTATGTAGGGATTTGTAAGCAAGCGCCAGAATTTTGAATTGGGCCCTATATTTAACTGGAAGCCAATGCAGGGACTGACAGAGCGTGGAGGCGTGGGAGGTGCGACCGGACAGGAAAATAAGCCTAGCAGCCGTATTCATTATAGATTGCAGCGGTGCAAGCTGGGAACATGTAAGACCGGTGAGAAGGGGATTGAAATAGTCAAGGCGAGAGAGAACAACAGCATAAACCAGTACCTTAGCCGCGTCCGGCGTTAGATATGGGCGGATGCACGCTATGTTCTTGAGTTGGAAGCGACAGGATTTGGCTATCGATTGAACATGGGGAGTAAAAGAGAGATCATAATCAAAAAGAACCCCTAGGCAGCAAGCCTGGGAGGTAGAGGTGATAGTAGCGCCGTTGACTTGAATGGAGACAGACACAGGAGTAGCAGCACTTGAGGGAGGAAAAACTAGAAGTTCTGTTTTGGACAGGTTGAGTTTAAGGAAGTGAGCAGCCATCCAGTTGGAAATAGGCAGTCAGAAACACGAGTCAAGGTGGGCGGAGAGAGATCAGGGGAGGACAGGTAGATTTGCGTGTCATTTGCATATAAATGGTATTGGACGCCAAAAGAGCTGATGAGTTTACCAAGGGAGGCAGTATAGATAGAGAACAGTAGGGGGCCGAGGACAGAACCTTGGGGGACGCCGACAGGGAGGGGTTGGGGAGAAGAGGCAGAGCCAGAGAAAGAAACACTGAAGGAGCGCTGGGAGAGGTAGGAGGAGCAGCAGGAGAGAGCAGTATCCCGTAGACCAAAGTTACAGAGAATGTGAAGAAGCTGTTGATGATCAACAGTGTCAAAAGCGGCAGAAAGATCAAGGAGGATTAGGATAGAGTATTGGCCGCGAGATTTAGCAGCAATTAAATCGTTGGATACTTTGGTCACAGCAGTTTCGATAGAGTGAGCAGCGCGGAATCCAGACTGAAGGGGGTCAAGCAGAGAGTTGGATTCAAGAAAGTCTGTTAATCTGGCGTAGACAACTCTCTCGAGGATCTTGGAGGCAAATGGCAGTAACGAGATAGGGCGGTAGTTGGATGGGGAGTTGGGATCAAGGTTGGGCTTTTTCAGAATTGTGGTTACGGTTGCATGTTTGAAGGCAGAGGGAAATGTGCCAGAGGAAAGGGAGAGATTGAAAATGTTAGCGAGAGGAAGAGCAAGAGAGGGAGACAAAGTGTGGATGAGATGCGAGGGAATAGGATCGAGGGAGCAGGTGGTGGGGCGGGAGGACAGGAGCAGAGCAGAAAACTCTTGTGCTGTAGCAGGTGCAAATGAGCTTAGGATGGCAGGGGGAGTGGGGTTGGGTGATGTATTGATACTGGTTGGAGAAAGATTAGAGATCTCTTTACTGATTGCAGAGATCTTCTCAGTGAAATGAGATGCAAAGTTTGTGGCGGACAAGGTGGTGGAAGGAGAGGGAGTCACAGGGCGAAGAAGTGCATCAAAAGTGTGAAACAGGTGTTTGGGTTGGTGGGACAGTGTGCTTATGAGGGTGTTGAAGTAGCTTACTTTTGCAGAGGAAAGAGCCATGCTGTAGGAGTAGGAGTTAAGAATACCAATTTGTTCCCTAAAGACTGAAGGCTGTGGAGAGCTACCAATAAAAAATAAACTGTACTAGCATAACCATTGTTAAATGAGCGGGATATTTCATTTTGATTTAGATCTTTAAAGGCTAAATGTGTTTTAGTTTTTAAACATCTACTGACAAAATGACTACTTTGGCTATATAAAATATCAGATTGAAACCAGGAACTTCGAAAATATTAAGAGTCTCCTTCTCCATGGGCCTAGGATCAGATGATAAAAACAATATCCTTAGAATTGAAGCAATATCACACAATCTATAGTGTTTAAATATTTATGTTTATTCAGGCAAGGAACTGGTTTGGATGCTTTTTGTTATCATTTTGGTATTCCACACACAGTGAACATCTATACCAAGTAGAATATACACAAATAACTATATATATAAATAACTATATATATATGTGTAACAGAGCACCCATACTCCGTTGTAGTTCTCTCCCAGAACCCTATAGGCAATAGTGTGTTATAACTCTTGCATACCCAAACATCAGTTGAGACCTGATGAAGGGTATAACAACTGGTTTTATTAGGGAAAAGCACAGACATTTATACCCAGACCCATAGCATGGGATCTTTATTCATCCCAAGCCTGCTCAGACGCCTCTGTGTCTGGGAGATAACTGAGTTGGTCCTCGGTAAACTAATTATCTCCCGGATATAGAGAGTGCAATACAAAAATACCCCAAAAACACACATTCAACAATCAGGTACCCCCACATGTTGTATATTCCCTGGAATGTCTGATCTAAGTGCCCATTCTGTAAAGCTCAGATCCATGGGGTAATGTCCAAATGCCATTGTCTCAATGTTTTAGCCGAACGATTTAACAAGTTTGGCTGAAAAGAGTTCCATGCGGTCGGGGTCATTCACCGGTGAGCTATATCTCCTCGTGGCCGGGTAGCTCCCCAAAGTTTATAGGAAGCTTTTTAAAATTTTTTTATCATATATAATTTTTATTGATTCAGACAGGGGGGCGGTACCCTGACAGCCAAGATGGCCGGATGGGTTTTCTGAGAGCTCTTGCACCAGCAGGCACAAAAATGACCATCCTGATTACCTAAACTATGCCAGCTACATCTGAAGTCCAAAAAACGAAACATGACCACACGAGGAGCAGAACGATACCCATCCTGCAACGTAACACAAAGCAATCACCTGTACCGGCCATGTGGCCTACTTCAGAGCGGAGTCTGCGGCCTGGGGGAAGCGGCCGATCCCCCGGCATGGGACCTGCGCACAAGCGGCAACCATACACTGCCCTGCTACCCCCCACCCCCCTCTAGACCGGCGGGGGATATCCAGGTCCTCACGGCCCGCACAAGCAAACAAACCTGCAACCAAGCAAGACAGTGGGGCAAGATGGCGGCACGGACGCGACTGGCGACAAACAGCACACTCACTACACCACCGACGCACATCCTGGAGTTTTTTGACAGATTATGTACCTACTTATTGACTAAACTCAATACCAAGGGTCTGCACTTTCACCTGCCCTGGCGGCACCTAAGCAGATACCCACCCAAAGCAGCCTCCAGACGGAGAAAAAGTCGGAGACCAGAACGGCGGGAAACGGCAATGTACCTCTCAAACCTCGACAATTGCTCTCGCATACACCGGAACAAGTACACCAAGCCCCTCGGACCCACTCACTACCCGGTGGCATTGGAGCCCTCCGACCAACGCAACGAGACCCTGCACACAAGGACTACCACAACCAGCTGCATTGCTTACCGCAATCCAGCACAGCTTCTTACCAGTGGCAGACATGAACGGAGAACCCCTCCAGATCCCACGGGTGTCGGAGCATTGCCTCAGCACCAACTCTATCATTGTACCTGGCCCACCTATCAGGCCTCCATAGTCGGCATTGGTTAACCTAGATGGACTGCACTGAAGGCGGACTATGCCCATATAAACTCAAGAGCGGTGATAAGGCATAACCTCACCGTACAGGCTATAACTGGTGCACTGTTCCCCTGCTTTTTGTTATCTCAGCTTGCTAATACATTAGGCATTGATAGACCAATTTACTTTATTTTTGCTCGTTAGCCATGTTTTTTATCTATGTTATGTTCAACACTTCTTACGATATAAGCCCACATACCGGACACTAGAAATGTATACCACGCCAGTTATACATATAAATTAAGCAGGCATGTGCCATATTCAATAGGTAGCTTATGATTAGCCTGCATCTAACGTGCATAATATTTTTAAATGCTTATCGCATTAATGCGGCCGGCCATTGAGGCATAGAATGGCTCACCTACAACAATCAGGCTGTATACATGCTATTTACCTATACATAACAAGCTACACCTAACATGCATCAAGTTACTTTCTTAATACACTAGCAGAACGACAATCAACATATGCTTTAAATGTGTATGGCTGGTACTTAAATGTTAATAACAAAAATGTGTAGAACTTCAGTGCCAAATTGTGAATCTTGCCGGACAAAATTTGCGTGCTGTTGTGGCACATTACACATGCATGTTGACCAGCAGCCTCTACCTCCCCCTACTGGTATAGCATGTTTTAAAGCAATTATTACTCAGAAAACTCCATTTGTGTCTTGAATAGCCTAACTGAAGCACATATTCAGAGTTTTAGACACATTTGCCTTGGTTGATCGTTTCATTATATAAAATTGTGCATTGTCTTGCCATGTAACTTGTCTTGACTGCTATTGCCGTTGTGGCATTGCAGGTAACCTGAATCCTTTCCTGCACAGCAAAAATAATCATTGATTCGGACAGAATAGTATGTACATCACATCTCTTACTTTTCACATTTGTCACACATTGAGTAGTCAGTAAATAAACAACAGTTATTGAACAGGAATAACAGTAATTGAGCAGGAATAACACAGTTGTCACGGCGATTCAGACAATGTGAGTGATCTCAGCTATGTAGGCATGCCATTGCAGAAGATATGACTTTACCCTCTTTGCTTATGGTACAGAGGTATCTATTCGTAATATTCTGGAGTGATGCACATTGATCGTTAACTTGTTGCATTGTACATTTTAATTTTTTTTTTTTTATATAATTCTTTATTTTTCATTGTGCAGTATCCGACAATACAGCCTCCATAGCCCCAACAGCTTATACAGGCATAATAATATCATTTTTGTACATCTTCACAGTATTGATGGCTTTAACTCGCATTGCACAGATATTTATATTCAAACCATTTAACTTGTTCTATTGTATAATGCAATATAAACGTGTGTGTATATATATATATATATATATATACACAAGTATGCCGCTTTAACGTGTGAGTTGGGCTAAAGTGTGTTCTGCACTTTTTGGGATATTTGGGCTGGTTGGTCATAGCGCATATATTTGTCTGTGCCGCTGATAGGGGCGGTTGGTTATAATTTAACACTGGCACTTAAGATTAGCTTATGGGTTCCCGGTCCCTTGCGTGGCTATTAAGTGTGTTAGGTTGGCGTTAAAATAGGGCCCGGGTATCCATGGTTCGTCGTTGTGTAATCGAGTCATATTGAGCTTAGTTATTTATATAACTCCTGGTCTTAATTTGGTTTGTCTGCTGAGAAGGGGTTTTCAATATGCCTTGGAGCTGATCTTGTAACTAGGATAGATGCTCCGTGGGTTTCTATGCCCTTTAACCCCAGGGCATTGGGGGGGGGGGGGAGAGGTCTATAACCTATGTGCGGGCATTCGCCATGTTTTTAGGGCGTATTGGCCTTAGTGGACCATCAAGGTTAGGTCTATGCTGTATGTATTGTAAAATAACAGGTATAACAACAAGAATGCGATCTAAACTAAAGACATGTTAACTCAAATCAGGGTGTATAAACGCCACCGGTTTCAAGGTACAGTCTCAGGGTGTTCCGCAGGAATGTCCGTAGAGTCCCTGGGTATTCCCAGTGTAGCCATCAGAGCTGGAGCTTCTCCCAGGGAGGAGATCTTGTAGTGGTTGTCACCTTTGGTCACCCATAGTGTTCTTGGAGTCGCCCATCGGTATGCAATGCCTGCTGTTTGCAGGGTCGACGTAACTGGCTGCAGGCTCTTTCGCCACACTAAGGTTTCTCTGCTTAAGTCCTGGAAGAATGTTAGTTGGTGAGTTTCAAAGTCATGTGGTGATTTCCCTTTGACTGCCGTCATCAGAGCGATTTTATCCGTGAGGGATTGGCATCTCAGGATTACGTCTCTAGGGGCTGCTTGTGGTGCTAGTCGAGGTTTAGCGATGCGGTATACGCCATCAAATGTAAAATGTTTTGCATGTTTATTTGGAAGGAGAGAGGCCACCAAGCGCCTTATGTAGTGGGGCAATTCTTCCAGCGGTACCTCTTCAGGTACACCTCGTATTTTGATGTTCTTTCTTTTGCCCCTGTCCTCTAGTACATTTATTTGTCTGTTGACATTGGCTTGTGCCTTTTGCAGCTGAGTGACAGTGTCTTTTAGGGAGGTGAGGTCCTGGCGCAGATCTCTTACCTCTTGTTCTGCAGCCTGTGTGCGGGCCGACACCGCTTGTACTTCTGTTGCGAGTCCTTTTAGGTCAGCCTGCCACATAAGTTGGAGATTTCTTTGGAGGCCAGTCAGCATGATCTGAATGTCCTGTTTTGTGGCCGGGGTTAACTCTTCGGCGAGTTGCATGGTTGCGTTGACTGTGGCGGTCTGGTCTGTGCTGTATGTAGAGTCACCATTCTCTGATCGTTCAGGTGAGGCTGCCGTGGCAGTTCGAGTCCGCTGTTGCTTGGGAGTCTGCAGCATGCTGCTTATGTCCCTGTGCGGTAAGACATTGTTCTGGGCTGCTTTTTGGGACCTCCGTCCCATTTCTTCCTGAGGGTAAAAGTCTGCGTCGGCAGAGTATAAGCTCGTCCCGAGCCACGATGTTAATTCCCTGTTCAGGGTCTGCTCGTGTGTGTGGTAGGCCCCAGTACCTTTAGCGCGGCGTTTTGTGCCCGATTTTTGCATAAATGGCATCTGTGGAATCGGAATGTTGTCGGGAGTATGTTCCCGCCGCTCGTTTTTCCGGGTGAAAATTATTTTTGCGTTTTTTGGTCGTTTTTCTGCTCTTCGATATTAGAGCTGCTGGAAATGGCGCCCTCTCCGTTGCGCCGCTAGCTCCGCCCCCCCGTACATTTTAATTTAACTAAGTAACAGGGGAGGGATACAGAAAAGAAAGGGACAGGGAGGGGAAGGGAAGGGACCCTGGTGACATTGCGACTTCACAGTTACCACAACTGTTATTTCCAAGTACATAGGAATGTGCCTGATCAGATAAGTAGGTAGCTAAATACAAATGTACATATCAGTGATTACTCAGTTAGTGCCTCATTCAGTACCCCAATCACCCAAGCCTGGAAGGCCAACTGCTCCAGTCACGGTCATATGTACCCGTACAGCCGTTTAGTCTACATGCCATCCGCTCGTAAGAGCTAATTGTGTGTAGTTTGTTGCTGATGGCCTCCTCCGAGGGGATTTGTGTGTTCTTCCAGTTGCTAGTCAGAGTGACTTTTGCTATCGTGAGAACGTTTAAGATCACCTTACGATGTGGATGCACTGCCAAGTCAGGGATTATATGGAGTAGATAGTGCGCTGGTTTTAATGGGAGATGAAGGCATGTTGTGCGTGAGATGAGGGTCTGGATTTGCCTCCAGAATGCCTTCAGAATTGGGCAATTCCAGAACATATGAAGCATGGTATCTTCCTCCGCTTTGCACCTCCAGCAGAGCCCAGACGAGCCCTTATAGTTATAGTTATATAGCTGAAAAGAGACTTGCGTCCATCAAGTTCAGCCTACCTCACATTTGTTTTTTGCTGTTGATCCAAAAGAAGGCAAAAAAACCCAGTTTGAAGCACAATTTTGCAACA